CTGGTGCCTTGGACTTGGTGGATTAATGTGTCATTAATAAAGTGGAAGACAGTTGTCAGGGGCATTAACACACCTCTCACCCCTCATGCAGCCTTTCTAGAGATGAACAGGCTCATCAGCTGAGGAAAAATCTCAGAAACCAAAGATAAGAAGTATGATTGAACTTGAACTGAAATGCTAATAGCATTCAAGCTTCAGTAGAAATAAAAACTTAGATAAACCAAAGTACAAATAGACCATTTGAATGAAGGTCCCACTGAGTGAATAACTTGAGATAATCGAAATTCATTGATCATATGAAGAATTCATATGTCCTATGAACTGTTGCTTTATCATTAGCAAATAAGGATGAGATTATCCATCTTGCAGAGTTATTAGAGTTAAAAGTTAAAATGAATTAAAGTTAAAATGAGCTTACTCTGTAAAATGCTTAGCAGAGAACCCATCATATTTTAAGTCATACAGAAGAGACGCTAGTATATTTTTCTGTCTACTGAATTGTTAGTAACGTTCATCATGATCTGCATTATCCTTAATATTTAATTCAAACATTGTGAAAGGATTTTACTGTTTACATGAATGCATTGTTTTGAATGACAATGCAGTGCAATTTGGTTTGGAAAGATGTGAGCTTCTGGTATAGTTTTTAAATTAGTTTCATCAGAGTGGGTTTTACATGTACCATAGTTACATTTATCCTCTTCCCTTTTGGTTGGGATTGGATTTTAGTTTGTCAGACTAGAATGTTTTATTATATTTTCAAGAAAATATCACAAAATGTTCTATTGATTTTGTTTCTGAATATTTTATGCTTTTAAAATATATACAAGCACCATGAAGTAATCTAAAAATCATCCCTAACAACCTTTGATTCTTAATTTCTAGCTTAAATCCTTAATGATGTTCTTTTATTTTTACTCATTTTCTTCTCAATGGAGAAAGAGAAAAGAGAGAAGTAGCTGCTGATTCCTAACGTCAAGTTTCTTTTGTTGTGAATCTATTAAGTATTCACACATGAATGTCTTTTATTTCCCCATCTGAATATAGAAAAGACACTGCTTTCCCCGAAGAATAACAGGATTTGTAATAGAGAAGATTTAGCATGTACTTAATTCTAATGTCTACACTGATGAATAAATACTCATTAAAATGTTAGTAATTGTCATTTAGAATTTCCTTTGTATTTCTTGTGGTGAATTACCTGGTCTGTCCTTTTCTCAGTGACCATTTGGGATTCTATTCCTTTAATATATATTTTTTATTTTTAATTGGGCTCTGTAACCCAGAATTTGTTTAAATGCAAGATTGGGAATCTAATAAAGTACATGTTCCTTATTAGAGCATTTCATTTCCCTCTGTTTTAACCCTTTATATCCTAAACCTGAACATATACACATAATAGATATCAGTGTTTTTCAACTTGAGAAAGTGATCTCCTGTATGAGAAATTTGGCACTATCTAGAAACAAAATGAGGGTAGGAAATAGATTGGCTATTGGCCTCTAGCGAACAGAGAAATGATGATAAACATATTATAATATAATGGACAATATTCTGCCCACAGAAAATTTTGTCAATATGTCAGTAATGCTAAGATTAAAATTTCTTGATAAGAGAGAGGAAAAGAGGCTGTAGGGATAGATTGAGATCTATTCACTGGGTAACATTCCTCTGGCAGTTACATCACTTATATTCTCTCACCTCTGGTGATGTTAAGTTGCTTTTATTTCTCTTTCCTACTCTGAAGGGCATTCTGGGAGATTTTTGTCTTATATTCTGCAAAAAATCAAGATACACTGTGTTTTTCAATCACCCTGGGATGTTTTTAAAGCAAATAAGATTAATGATTTTCAAGCATAGATTCTTGAGGCTTGCTTTGATTAGAGAACGGTTTCATAACCTGTTCCACAACTTAGCTTCTCTTTCTTCTGTTCCTACACCTATAAACAAAAAATGTCAATCAAACCTTTATTCTAAGTTTACATGAAATCACAAGATGCTTAAAATAATGTTTGGTGCATAGTAAATATTTCAGATGTGTTTATTACAATAACATTGTCACATTTTTAAAATAAATTTTAGTACATTACATTGATCATAATTTTTTTCATTTATTTTCATTGATTTATTATTGATTTATAAATGTATGTGTCTTCAGGAGTTCAGCTTCACTCTTCAGGTATCTGATTGTCACCACTCCTGCAAACCACATTCCAGCACTGTCTCATCACTTAGAATACTCATACTTTTCTATTAATCACCATAGTTTCAAGTCTAGCTCTTAATTTTACTGTATATTTTGCCTGTCTACTTGCTTTAGTTATTTATATTTCACTCATGAGTAAAATTTTTTTTCTCTCAGAACCATAAAGCCAACAAAACTGATTTTGTTGATTTTATTGATTTTATTTGATCACTTTATTTATTTATTAGGTATGGAGATTTGCAAAGTTATTTGTAGTTGAGTTTCAGGTATACAACTTCCAATACCTATCCTGTTACCATTGTCAACTTGGTCCACCAGTGCCCCCTGTCCCACCTTCCAGCCTGCCTATTTGACGGGAATATTCTTAAATTTGATTATTGCAATTGGATCTCCTGTTCTCAGTTTTGTTGGTTCTATGGTTCAGATATATAGCTACATTACACCTCTTCACCACTAGTGTGTCTGGGACCCTTACCCCCTGTCTCTGTTCCCTCAGTCTGACTTTTCTTGCTTTCTCCCCCCTTCAGTTTCTTTCCTTCTCTGTCCTTCTGTCTATAATCCAGGTTCCAGGATAATCTAGGTATCCCCCCTTTGATGCCTTGCCTTTTCTTGTCCAGTTATTCTATATACCATGGATACATGAGTTTAGTTGATATTTCTCTCCTGGCTTGCTTGGCTCCAGTACCATCCAAGTCGCAGAAAATTGCATGATTTCATCCTTCCTTGCAGCTTTCTAGTGTTCCATTGTGTATACACACCACAACTTTATAATCCATTCATCTGTTGTTGAATAGCTGGCTAGAGTCCATATCCTAGCTATTGTCCTAACTGTTGCAATGGATATGGTGTACATATGTCCTTCAGAATGAATATTTTTGTGTTCTGGTGGTATAAACCTAGGAGTGGAAATTATATACATTTAACTTCTATTTGTAGATTAATATATCAAATCTTAAAATTGGGCACTTGGGGGGCTGGAGCCATAGTACAACGGGTAGGGTGTTTGCCTTGCACGCAGCCTACCCAGGTTTGATTCCCAGTATCCTATGTGGTCCCCCAAGCATTGCCAGGGGTAATTCCTGAGTGCAGAGCCAGGAATAACCCCTGTGCATCACCGGATGTGACCCAAAGAGCAAAAAATAAATAAATAAATAAATAAATAAATAAATAATGGATACTTGGTTGCCTTCAATATTTTTGCAACTAAAAATGGTACTGTCAGGTTGGGATTATTACTCATCAATTGGGAGCTCATTTTTTGCATGAAAAAGGTAACAGAATTTGATAACCAGCACCACTTTTTCTTTGAGCACCACCAAGAATGATCCCCAAGTACAGAGCAGGAAGTAACTCCTGAAAACAGTCATTGTTCCAAGTTTAAATTAAAATATATGTAAACTAATGTTTGTTTTAGAAAAACTGATAGCAGAAGTTATGAATAAGATTAGAAATGTTCGCCCTAGAGTACAAGCAGATCACTACAACTGCCATGACTACAATTATACTAGTACTTCTAGCCCTACCTCTACTTCAGCTGCACATACACACATAGACATGCACATGATGCTTAATAGAGTTGAGACTAGTATGAGTGATAAATGCTGTTTTTTATTTTAGTGATATAACATATCTAATCTTTTTGCTATAATGATCATTTTTTCACTTAACATGCTGTTCACTGATTAAACCTATAACTTTATTATTTTAAAAATATTAAGCATGGGGTTGGAGTGATAGCAACAGTAGGTAGGGCATTTGCCTTGCACATTACCAACCTGGGTATGCTCCTTGATATCCCATATGTTCCCCTGATTCTACCAGTAGTGATCCCTGAGTACAGAACTACAAGTAAGCACTGAGCATCTCATGGTGGTGCCCCAAAACTAAAATAAATACAAATATTAAGCGTATAGTTTCCCCCTTTATTGTTCTACTTCATTTTTACCATTATTGTTTCTGAAACCTATAGGTAGATCTAAAGTTAGATGAATTTTTCAGGTAAGCAGATTAATAGGTGGTGAAGTAAGCAAGCACTAATTTAGTATTAATTCATTATTTAGTAGGTTTACTAATAAGACAATACATCGTTCAGATAATATGCAAACAAAAATGTGTCTCACCATGTGTATGTATTAGTGCCTATTTTGAAATTTGTGACTTTAAAGTGATAAAATAGGTATTGATTAACATTTATTCACTGCGATTTTTCAATTCATTATTTGTACCCTATCATTTTATTTTTGTCATGAGAATCTTTCTATAGAATAAATAAAAGTATGGTTTTAATGGCTGCATCATATTGTATCAATCTAACCAATATACCATAATTTATTTAATGAGTTTCAGATTATTGAGCATTTAGGTTGTTTCCCTTCTTTAAGCACTACAAATAGAATTGTACTCTATATATTAGTGTCTAAAATTTATCATCTCTGATTATTTCCTTAGGAAATATTCCTAGAAGTAAAACCATTGGCCCAAATTAAACATGAGATATGTTTACGACCCTTGATAAATGTGTTGCCAAGTTTTCCATCAGAAAGTACTTTATTGCTTATGGAAGAAAATATATAACCCATATTCTATGAATATTCTTTAATCCTCTTTTAGGCGGCTTTTTCTAAATTTTATGCTTCCTTTAGGTTTTAGAACTCAGATTTTTTTTACAGAAAAATAAGTGTTTCTTTTAAGTGGTTAGCAAAATAAACATGCAATATTTAAACAACACAGCTCTTTTTTCTTGGGAAATTTTTTAAATGCACCATTTTACATTATATATATTTTTTATCTCTAGGGTGAAAGAGGAGAAAAAGGAGATCCTGGTGTGGCTGGCATTAATGGTCAAGATGTAAGTCTAACTTTCTTTCCCTCCTTTCCACTCATGTTCTGTTTACATTTCTCTAATAAACTAATTCCATTAAAGTTTTACTGTTCTTGGAAGAGCTAGTCACAATCATCTCAAAGAATGAAGGCAGTTTTTTAATTTTTTTATTTTTATTTTTTATTTTTAGTGAAACACCATGAGGTACAGTTGTAGATTTACAATTTTTTGTGCTTGGGTTTCGATTATACAATGATCAGATACCCATCCCTCCACCAGTGCCCATTTTCCACCACCATGGATAATATCCCTCCCACCCCCATCCCTCCCATTTCACCCTGCCTCTGTGGCAGGGCAATCCCTTGTGTTCTCTCTCTCCTTTTGAGTGTTGTGGTCTGCAAAAGAGGCTTTGAGTGGCAAACATGTTCAGTCCATAGTCTACTTTCGACATGCATCTCCCCTCCTGGGAGGATCCTCCAAACACCCTTTATTTGGTGCTCCCTTCTCTATCTGAGCTGCCCTTTCCCCTAGAATTGGAGGCAGGTTTTTTTTTATGTGGCAGAAAATAAACCCAATAATTTTAGTTTTATTTAGGCAGTTTCTTGACTTTTATACATACACTCATCCATACAGTCCCTTCCTCTTTTTAGTGTCTGGGTTGTTTTTTATAGTCTTCATTTAGCTCTTTTTCTCATTTTACATATACTTCTGTGGCCTTTGTTCTTACCCAGGGTTCACTTTTTGTCTTATATTAGATCTTCATCTACTGCAAGAAGTGTGGGTAAGAATATAGTGATGTAGATCAAAGAAAGGAAAGGAACATGTGAACGAACCAGTATTGTCCATCTTCTCTTGAACTAATTCTTTCATCTCAGACATGTTCTCCCCTGTAACAAAACCACATCTTAACATTTCTTCTTCCCTGTAAGACAGTTACCCCTCCATAACATTGTTTTTATCACGAAAAATGAAGAACCATCTACTGAAATGTCATCTGATCTTCTTCAGGCTATCAAACATACCATTTACCTTGGAGAAAATAACCTTACTGGGATAAGTGCCACATACAAATTATTTTACTGTGGTTTCCTTTTTTGACCTGTGTAAAAATATTTTAGAATACTTGCCCACTCTACTTTCTTTTTTTTTTTTGACCTGCCAGGACTGAAACAGTCACCTCAATTTTCTTTCATTAGCATCAGTTTATTTTCTTTAATTTAATGATCATGAGATACGCAGTTATGACATTGTTCATGATTGGGTTTCAGTCATAAAATGTCCCAACACCCTTTCCTTCACCAGTGAACATGTGAACATTTCCCACCACTAATTTCCCATTTATCTATCACCCCAGTATCCCCCCCACCACCACCACCTGCCTCGATGCTCTATGGCAGGCACTATTTTAATATTCTCCTCTCCCTCTCCTCTCCTTCTCTCTCTCTCTCTCTCTCTCTCTCTCTCTCTCTCTCTCTCTCTCTCTCTCTCTCTCTCTCTCTCTCTCTCTCTCTCCCCCACCACCACCACCTTTTGGGAAAAACAGGTACTGAAAGTTTATCATGGCTCAGCATGATCATTTCCAACTACCATTGTCATCGTGCTCCTTTCTCTATCCTAACTGCCCTTCCTGGCCCCACTGCCCTCAACTTGTGACTGGCCAGCAAGCTGGCAGCGGTTTTGAATGTACACTGTAATAGACACTGCATGCCCTTAATGCTTGGCTTCTACATTGTACTTTCTTGATTAACAAAAGAATAAGGAAACTAAAATTGTTTTCCTTATACTGTCACTGTATCACTGTCAACCCGTTTTCTCAAGTGAGCGCCAGTAACATCTCTATTCATGCAAGGCCTGAGATTTTAGCAGCCTCTCCTTACTCGTCTTTCTCAATGATTGGAGGTTCTTTTCAGGGTCAAGGAAATGAGACCTGTTATATATACTGGTTTTGGCATATTGAATATGTCACAGGGTGGAATACTCTTGGTAGCTTGCTGGGCTATCCAAGAGGCATATATATATATATATAAATATATATATATATTATACACATATTATACACATATATATTTCTCTCTATGATTTGTTGCCTACTGTCTAAACTCCATCAAACATAGTGTGGTAATTATGGAAAATGGGTGGGTAGGAAGTGTCTTATGATGTGTCACGCGGCTGTATAGTCCAGAAAGTGGCCTGGAGAGTGGCGGTGGTTTGGTAGTGGAAGTCAGCTGCTGGGACTGGGTCTCTTGGGGCTGGGAGGGCTCTCACCCGCCCCCTTCTGGGGCGCTTCAAGTGAAAATAGCCTGGCGCTGAGTCCGGTGGCATGGATATGGGGGCCTCATTTTATACTCTCATCTGGGAGGAGCAGCCATGAGTTCTGAAGGGTGGTCGACCTCCTCATCGGCCAATCTCCTTTCCTTATACACTAGCTGTATTGTCATGTACTGTCAAACCCATCTTACATGTAGTTAATATAATAGTCATCTGAAGGCTGATAGTTACACTCAAAGAGACCTATCAGTAAAGAACTTAAGAGTACCAGGTGAGACTTTCCAAAAGAGAACCAACCCAGGTGTTCACCCTAGTAGTTTATAATAGCAAAAGTATGACCTCCTTTCACATCATTATTCTTATTTACTTAAGAGACCCCATTCACACCTTAGAATAAGATCCCAATTCTTATTCTTTGTCCCTTTGCAATATTTTTTCTACATATAAGGTAGAGGAACAGAACACATCTTAAGAAGTTTATAAAGATAATGTTGAGATTGTGATAAAGAAAAATTTTTTGTCATGAATGAAACTAGAAAATTTAAGGGATTGATACCTATATATATATAGGTTTAGATTGCGTACATTAATTCAAAGATTTGGACTGTTTATCTTGTGTTAAAGAAAAAGGTTTGGCTTTATATAGTTATACAATTGATAGTCACATGTTAATTTGTGTGTCTACTCCATGTTCAAGCACTCTGTCAATATCAATGCAAGTTCCAAATCTGAGTAAGACCAAATTTTTGAAAGTTTCTAACCTAGTGGGTAGTGTGACTTTTTCCAGAGGCATCTTGAAAGACTCTCTCACACTTCCCCAATCTCAGGAGAAATATTTCTTGAGCATCAACATTGTTTAACGTAGTCCATTAACTACATCATAAAGCACAAAGCATGACAAATCACATTCATTTTTCTCACTTGGTTACCTCATTAATTTTTAGAAGACGTTTTTCTTTCCTTAATTTTGCAAAAGATGGTCAGGAGTTACAGGTAAAAACTAATAAGAAAAAAGTAAGAAATGTCTCTCCTTTCCACCTCGAATATCACCAGGATTAAAGAATCAAATGTTCCATCATTGAGTCACAGGTGATGGCAAAATTGAAATTGTGTTTTAGTGCATAAACTCTTTTCAGGAGAAAGTTGAAATTTGCTCCTGACTACTGCTGTGCGGACTAGTTTCAGGAGGGATGTGAGAGCATTTCTATTATCAGAGGTGAGAAATAGATGCTTGGGAAATAAAGCAACTTTCTTTTAAAAAGTGGTAAACCAGGCTTTCATCCTGCATGTTTGAAAACTAAGTCTCTTATTTTTCCACAAAAATCGTACCACACATGGCATTGTTTATTTTTCAATGCTAAAATAAAATGACTCTGAAGACTACAATCATTTAGCATTATGGCAGTTCATTCTGACTTTCAGTAAGTGCAGGTACACATTCTAAGGATTAATGAATATTATAATAGCTTTTCCAATTTGAATTAAGTAAGACCTGATGAGGATTATAATTTCAAAACTATTTTATTAGAATACATAGTGAATGAACTCAGTGAACCAACTCACTCTATATAGTTTCTGAGAAAATTGGAAGAAGAATTTTATATTATTAAATGAATTCAAAAACTCTTTTTTGCAGCCTTCATTCCTGCAGATTACAGATATCTTGATAAAAATGTTTCTTTCAGTAGTTTCTTCTGTACCATATTTTCCTCAGATTAGGCAAACTCAGTTCAGATAATGCAAACCTTATTGAAAGTTTAGTGTTCCTCAATGTAACACTAACATGGCATTTGGATAAAGACCATACAGCATGTGAAAGAATGTTGCAAGGGCAGAATGTGTAATACACCTGAAACTAATCAGTTAAGTGCCAGAAGTACTCCTTAGTGATTAGGACCAAAAAAAGGTGCTCCAATGTCTTTTAAAAAAGTATTCTTGTAAGTGTGTATGTGTAAACTTTGAATTGTTCCACAAAGTATTGGAGAAGTAGACTAAAAGTTTTGAATTAAAAGCGTGGTCATATCTCCTTATATCTAAGTAGTGCTTACCAAACATTTATTGAATTTTCCAAAAAAATCATTTCTGAAATTTAACAGAAAATGCAAAACCTTAGGCTTATGAATATTTTTATTAAAAGGTAAAGGTAAAGGCCCTCCCGTTGATCGTCGACTTGCTCGAGCGGGCCCAGTAACGTCTCCATTGGAGACTTTGTTGTTACTGTGTCTGGCATATCGCATACTCTCGGTAGCTTGCCGGGCTCTCCGAGAGGGGTGGAGGAATCGAACTCGGGTCGGCCATGTCGGCCGCTTGTAAGGCGAACGCCCTACCCGCTGTGCTATCGCTCCAGCCCGAACAGTTGATTATAATATGCTATAAAAGTTATTGAAAAACAATCATAAAATGGACTTTAAAGGGAGTCTCACAATTTGCTACTGTGATTTTAGAAGCCAGACTAATATGACTTGATTCCCAGATCTGCCACTGCCTTCTGGCATGCCATTCAGAACATTTTCTTTTCCCTTTGTGCCTCGGTGCTTTCATTTGCATATTAAGTTCTTAAGAGTATTTACCTTAGGGTTTTTTGGTTGTTATAGATTCATACATGAATCATTTAGAACAATGTGTCACTTTAAGAAGTGTATACACATTTATAATTATTAGAAATCTAGTTAAAGAAAACACATTTATCATTAACAGAAATAAATCTCCACTTATTTGTTTTGTGTATGCTTAGAAAAGTAGATTTAAATCATTGAGTT